AACACAAGGACTCCCAATCGAAGAAAGGTCACAACTGGTGCACAACACAGTGTGGTGCAAAGGCTCTCCTAGCTCAATTGCCAACTGCTCTTTGAGCAGGAGTCACAAGTCTAGGAGAACCCCTAAGTCGTGGACTCAGTCTGTCTGGAGTACTGTCACCCTATCCAGAATTAAGTTGGCTAAAGTCCTGGATCTTGACGATCCATGCACCCAGAGCCATTCAGTCTTGCCAGGGTTCAGCTGAAGCCTGTTGACCCCCATCCAGGCTGGTTTTCATACCGTAGTTCTTCTCCCTTAACCTTTATGTTACACAACAAACTTTACCCATTTCTCAGTATCCAAAAAGAGGATTATTTTACTCCTATCTTTCTACAGCCATATTTGCTCAATAGTGGAGCAGCAGAAGTCCTATTTACAGCCAAACACATCTCATTTACGTTGCCAATGCTGCTGACTGGTGGGTAGAAAGAGAAAGAAGATGACAACAGGAGGGGAAAGCAGAAAGCTGGAACACCCGGGATGTGTGGCCCAGTAGGCACCTCGACCAGTGTTTTCTATACTGCAACCTCTCCCTGCAAACCAGAAGTGGGTTTCAGCAGGTTCTGACCAGTTCTGGAGAACCGGTAGCAGAAATTTTGAGTAGTTCAGAGAACCGGTAAATACCACCTCTGGCTGGCCCCACCCCCGTCTATTCTCTGCCTCCTGAGTCCCAGCTGATTGGGAGGAAACGGGGATTTTGCAGTAACCTTCCCCTGGAGTGGGGAAGGAATGAAGATTTTACAGTATCCTTCCCCTGCCATGTCCACCAAGCCATGCCACGCCCACCAAGCCACACCCACAGAACCGGTAGTAAAAAAAATTGAATCCCACCACTACTGCAAACCAATGGCAAGAGGTCCTTTTGGCCAGGGGAAGGCAAAGGAAGAAACTGCAGGTTGTGTTAGGGCTGTTTGTGGCTTCTTTCTCTCTTTCACCAGACATACCCTAATATATGAGGAAAAACTAGTGGATGCAAACCAGCTCGTTTAGTTCCACCTAGGTCATAAACTGATTGAAGGTACCCATTGTATACCACTACTCTAAAGCACTCTTATTTCTGCACAATCCAAGACAACCAAGAGTTCAGCGTTGAAAGTAACTGCAAGGTCATAACCGCATTGTGATGTCGTCAGTATTTCATTGATAGCCACTAATAAATGTCTTTGGGCCACCCCATTGCTGTTTGGAATGTTCTCTAAGGAACGGTGAACATAGCAAAGAGGTGTCTGGTGGTTCAAATATATTCAAGTAAAGCTTTCACAATGGCTGCTAATATATGACCTTGTGCAAATAAAGGGCTTCGTTCACTTCTTCCCCATCAAGTCAGCCTGTCTCCATGCTGATCCCAATGATGGTATTTTATCATTTCCAGCCATGTGAAGCTCAGACTGAGTTTTTCTGGAAACTGCACACCTCCAGCCTTGTTCCAGATCTGTGGTGACTGTAAAAGAACTACATTTTTCCCCCACTCAGTCTCCATTAGGAATTTTCCTCCCCACTTAGTCTCCACAGCAGGAAAAGCTTTCTGTGACAGAAATTCTCTATTAAAAAACTTAGGAGGGGGAGGGGAAGCTTCATATACACAGGTGGTGCCACACTATGTTATAAGCCCCAAAGATCCCTAACACACATCAATCTTTGCCACAAAGGGCATCAGAACAATACTCAGAAAATGATAAAATAGCAGTTCTCCTCATCAACGAAGGTTTTGGTGGTCTACACATCGCCTCCGAGAGCCAGTTTCATGTACAGATAATCCTTGCTGACTTGTTCACCAACCCAAAGTTACAAGACTGCTAAATGAGGAGATTTACGACCAATCCTCATAGTTGTGACTGTTGCAGAATCCCCGAGGTCGCATGATTACAATGGGGACACTTGGCAATTGGCTGTTGCAATTATAATGGTCACGGTGTTCCACAGTGATCATAATTTGCAATCTTCATTGGCGGCTTCCAACAAGCACTGTCAATGGGAAAGCCAGCAGGATGTCACAAATGACCATCAAGTGATGTTGTGCTTAACAACCATGCAGAAGTCACTTAACAATAGCTACTGGAATCACCAGAACTACCATTGTAAGTTGGCATAGTCCTATGGCATCCTGTTTTACAATCATATGGCTTAGCGATGAAGTTATCAGCCCCAATTATCAAGGGTAAGCATGGTCTACCTGTAGTGGTTAAAGCATCAAGGTCGAAACCAGGAGATCATGTGTTCTAGTCCTGCTTTAGGCAGGAAGGCAGCTGGATGATCTGGGGCCAGTCCACAGTCCCAGGAAGGAGACAAGGGCAAAACACCTCTGAAAACTTACCAAGAGAACTGTAGTCTTCTTCTGGCAGTCTCCAGCAGTGAATATCGACTTGAAGGTGTGTGCACCCATACAAACTGAATGAAAAATCCCACCACACATCATACTCATTAATCACAGATCCACCACTTATACCGAGATGTTCTCTACTCCCTTTTTAAAGCCACATCCGGTTGCCCCTTGTTAGCTTCATTTCTAAACAGGGTGGATTTGATTTAAATCGAGTTGATTTAAATTACAATTTAAGTCATGATTTAAATCACTAGTAAAAAGACTTGATTTAAATCAACTCGATTTAAATCATAATTTTTAAAGAGTAACTGTCATCTCTGCTACTCCTTTGACTCACTGTTGACTCACCGATAGTCCCAGCGTTGCAGAATATACAGCCTCATGCTACATAACTAAGCTCCATTTCATGCTGAATAAACTAAATTATTTATATATCTTAAACAGAAAACTATCTTACGATAGATTTTTACCCCAAAAGTTTTTTATTAAAATAAATTCGATAAAAATCAAAAAAATCCGATTTAAATTAAAAAAAATCTGATTTTTTTTTATTTTTTTTAAAAAATCATTGATTTTTATCCACCCTGTTTCTAAAGCAAAACTGGAGTCAGCCAAATCAGGTCTGGAAGAACCTGATAGGAATTATCCTTTTCTTCTAGTCTTCCATACAGGCTTGACAGAAAGCAAAATCCAGCTGGATCCTGATTATGACCACAAAGATGAAACAAATTTAAGGCTCTCTGCATCTGCCCCATTTCCGGCACGAATGTCCTTATCCTTGGCAGCTACTTGTTAATGAAAAATCAACCATGCCAGGTTGACTGACAGGATATATTTAATTTGGTCCCCCATTAGTTGCTGGATCAGGTCAGTTACCGTATAAACCACACCGCTGGACTGGTGCCACCTTCCAAGCCAAACTGGTTTACATCTAGAGAAGCAAGGCGTGAGCAAATTGTGATTTTAGGCCTGTTTCTTTATCACACAACTCTTTGAAGTGGCAGAATGGTTCAGGCTGGGTGGCCACAGTAACCCATGCAGGTGTTTTTTTTGGGGGGGGGAATGTCAATACAACCAGAATGAGTTTATTTTATGAGAGTGATGATGGGAGAAATTCTGAATAGCGACACTACTGACCAATCTGTAAACAATCCAGAATATAGTCCTGGAAAACTCCACACCAGAGCCTTCCGCTCTAAAACTCAGTCCTGTATCTTTTTCCTGAGTCCAGGCAAAACATTTACGAGTTGGGTCTTCTTCTCCGGTCCGGTATTCCTAACTCCTCGCTCGGTTTTACGGACCGAGTCTAGGCCTGGCGCCTAAACCCTACAGGTCACCTACTCCAGGGCGGAGGGCGAGCCCGTCCCGTCCGTCTCTCAAATAATCCCACCCTCGGCGCCTCACCTTTCCTCCTGACTGACTCACACATAATCATTCCCCGCAGCCAAGATAAACGGGTTGGGGGGAAAAAAGGGAGGACGGAGGAAGCAAGCGCTGCGAGCGGCGCAATTGCAACTAACCGCCGCGCGCGCCGTTAAGCAGCACCCCGCTCCGCCCCTGCTTCAAATCTCACTCCGGGAAGGCCCCGGCTTGTGGGGAACCGGCACAGGCAAAGCCCACCAGCAAGCCTGGAGATTAATCGACCCCGCCCTGGAAAGTCCCTGTCTTGCAGATGAAGCGGGCAGGGCGGTTTTTCCCTTCACGCCAGCTCGACTGTTGTGGAGCCTGGGAGAGGGGAAGGGGGAGGGGGGCGCGCGTCAGGAGCTCCCGGGGCCGGGACGCGCCCGGCCTCCAGCGGCCTGGAAACTTGAAGAGCGTCCCGTGGGCAAAGCAAATAATAATAAAAGCTGCCAAAGGCGGAAAACATCCACCCACTAGTGGCGGCGCAACGCTTTTCACGGTGCAATAATGCAAAACCTTGCCTCTTTCTTACTACTTAGGATGGCTTCCTTGCTTAAGTCGTTTAAAATGATTTTTAAAAGTGCTCGTTAGGCAGAGCTACATCCGAGTTGCACCTGTCCCTCGCAGTAGTTTGCATGGGAGTCTATAGAGAGTCGATGGGGGAGTGGGGGGGCGCGAGGTGGACAAGCGGGCTAATCGGCTTCGACTTCCATATTCTCATTTGCACGTGTGCTAAGCGCGCTTAAGTCTCCAAATGGGATATTGATTGTGATGAAGTTAGCTTTGCCTTCGTAAAAGTGTTTATACTTGCTTGTCACTTAATACTTAAGCCAAAAGCAGGCAGCACCTAGATAGCCGGCGAACCTTGCTTTGCAAACCGATCGTGCCCGGCGCTCTAGAAAGCAATGACTCGACCGCGCAGCTAAAATCGCCGATTGGAGGCGCCAGCTCTGAACGCGTGAGCTGTTGCTCTTCTTACTGTGCTTCGTCAGAACCAGGCCCACATTTCTGATGCCTACGGTACTTGCTACAAGGCTTGCAAGCTATACTCTCGGTAGCCACGTGCCAGTCGAGTAAAGTCTTATTTAGGAGGTCACTTTCCCCCCTCCCCCTCCCCACGCCTTATGAACGCGTCTCCTTTCACTTCGACGGACTGCATAATAGTCCTAAGAAGAAACGCTTTTCCCCTGGGTAAAATTCTTGCAATTCTATACAATGAATATAAAACATTGGGAGCGCCAAGAATGATGTTTTTAAGTGCTCGGACAATCGAGTAATACTTCCAGCGGTGGGGAAGAGGAATACCGTAAGAAGACTTTCGCTTCGCTCTTTTTTTTTTTTTTAAAGCAGAAATCAGAAAAGCGACTGAGCAATTGCGGGATCCTCTGCTTGTAAAGCGAGTGGGGAGTCCGTGTCTCCTTTTCAAGTGTTGCTATATCGTGTTTTCCAGCAGAAAATCCTCAAACACCCGAGAACAAGCAAGTCCTTCGCAGCTTTTTTTCTGAAAAGACATTTGCAAGATTGCCTTTTTTTTTTTATATTGAAAGCTAAAGGTTGCATATTCCACCCAGCTGAGGTTCAACACGTTTTAAAAGTTGAAGCTCTGCAATTAGAAGTAAACAGCTCCGATACAGGCACGTTAGATAATTGTAGACGATCTGTGCTGTGAGATTTTATACACAGCTTTTCGTGTGGAATGGGATTCCCGAGGAAGGTTTTTAACCAGAATTAGCACAGCATAGGTGTATGGACAGTTGTGCATACAAGAACAGTACGGGAAGGGTGGCTATATATTCCTGGGCGCCTGGATGGCTATTGGAGGCTTGTTACGCAATGAGCTGCGGTTCAGAATTTAATATCATCCTTTTATATTTCAGGCTGTTAGATACCATTTCTGCAAACGTGGGTGTAATGAGGCAGCGAGGGAGCATTCAAGTACCAACCCCCCTCCCTCTCCCCACGGGACGCGAGAGGCAGAACTCCCGGCAAAACGATGCGCATCCTAGGCTGCCCTTCGAAGGACCGTAGAAGCTGTTCGCTGCGGACACGCAGGAAACCCTCCTTTGCGTTCTCAATGACTCCTAGTGGCCTGCTTGAAGGGGAGGCCGTCGTAGGTCTCTCGGGATTACTCGGGAGGGTGGGGGGAGAGAAGAGGTAGACTAGATGGCCTTTTGATCTCGCCTCCCTTCAATGACTTCGTGTGACTCCCCCGTTCAAGAGGGAGGGGAAAGGCAGGGTGACCCACACGCGCACAGGGTTGGACCGTCGAGAGAGACAGGAGGAACTGCGAAGCAACCTCGGATAAGGGGGAGCAGGGAATGAGCGTGCAAGTAGTGTGTGAAAGAGAAACGCTTGGATTCGGAGTGTAAAAGGTAAGCGGGCGAGTTGAGACGTGAGTGATGAAGGACGAGAAAGCCCAGGTAAAATCTGCGGAGGAAGCGTGCAGAAACCTCCCCCGCGAAAAGGGGAGATCCGATGAGGACGAAGGTCTCTGAAGCAAGTGACCCTCCCCCAAAGAGATCCCTACTGGGGACAAGGGGCAGAGAGGTCGTCGGCAGGAAGAGGGGGGTTCCGCGGCCGGCTTTGCGCTCGGGGTGGCTAGAGGTGCCGAACGCTGCCCGTGGGACCACGGCGGGACAGCGTTCACGCCCGTGGGTGTGGGCATTGCGCTCGAACCGCACCCGAAGGAATTGAACAGCTGCTTCCCGGCTTCGGCTGCCCCCGGATGGGGAGGGGAAAACCTCGCCCAGGCGAGGCTTTAGTGACTGCGGAGCGAGCGAGCGAGCGAGAGAAGGGGCAGGTAGATGAGGAGGAGAAGAAAGGGATCGGCCGGGACACGGGCGAAAGGGGAGGGAGTCCCGCTGGCTGCTGCGACGGTAAGCTTGGCGAGGCAGGGGCGCGCTTGTGCGTGGACAGTCCCGCAGAAGAAAGAGGAGCGGGGGGGGGGTTCTGTTAAATGGGGCATTCTGGGTTGTGGAAGGGAGTCTACCTTGCGGGGTCTCGGGAGAGGCTTTCCAGCTTTAAGCTGCGGAAAGGGGTTTGGGCAGAATGTGGCTGGAGGAAAGCAGCGATTGCGGGAACCTCAAAATAAGAAATCAGACAGGTGGGGTTCCTGCCTGGGTTCACTGTTGAATTCCCATCTTTTTTCTCTCTCCTCTTTTGTCTTATTATGGCAGGTCTCTTGTATCTTTAATAAAGTTGAACAGGCAGAAGTGCAACCAGTGCCCTTCCGTGTTGTACCACCATATAGGAGATACTGGTATCTAGTGAATTTCTGACTCTCCTCCAGAGTTCATTCAAGAAAAAACTTTGGAAACCTTGACTCAGGAATAGATGGTGTGCATATGACAAGGGTTATAGATTGGGGACAGCCTGCCTCCCAAAGCTAGATGCAGCGGGGTACAAAGAAGAACGTGTGTCTTCTTCATTTTCTGATTGTGAACATCTCAGAGGCATCTGGTTGGCATTATGAAAAGCAAAGTACAAGACTAAAATCAGCCTTGGTCTGATCCAGTTGGGCCCTGGGATTCTTAAGATCTTCTTTTTTTCAGCTGTTGGGAAGAGCTCTATCTATCATACTCCTTTTTTCTTCCTTAGAAATCTATACCCAAGCTAGTTATGAAGCAGACGTGGTTTGAGTTGCATGAAAGAAAGGAGCTTCTGTCAATAGCCATAACAACAATTCGATATTGCTTGTAGAAAGCTGTGTAGAAGCCATGATTTGACTTAAACTGGAGGGAATCCAATCCAGGAGGGTGAGGCTGGGCTATTTCCTTAAGGGCCCTCTTTATTATTTGTTTTCATATTTACGAAAAGTTGCCATTGACAGCAAATGTTCTGAAAAGAAGCCTCCATGAGATATTCACATACAATTATATAACAGTCCCCCCATTCCAATAATCTAAGAATAATCCATAAGAGGATGCCAGTTTTGGGAAAGGTTAATTTTTTGTTACATGTATATCCTCCTCCTGAAAATTAAAGGAATGCCTATCTCTTCTTGTTTTATCCTCATAACATTGTTAGAAGTAGACTGAGGTAAACTCCATAGACATAAATTCTTGGTCCAGTCAACCCATTCTCTATTACTCTATAGTATCTATCTTTATATACAGTAACACTTTTCGTTGAATTAGATTTTTGTTGGTTTGCACAAAATAAAATAAACTAACCCAACATGAAAACATATAGAAGGTTAAAACTAATCCAGCTTAATGTGTTGTCTACATATGGCCAACAGGTCTTCATATTGTATGTGAGCTCAGCCACTGACTCCAAACAACTTGCTTTCCACCTGGTTCTTAGCTTTCCCTTTTGCAGGTTCTTCACCCCCATCGCTCCCTGGCAGGGACATGAGGGAGAGGGCGTCATCCAACCACACTAGAGAACCAACCCAACGCATCCAGGTGGAGTTCAGTATGGCCCCGAGGAACCCCCATGTGAATACTTGCCTTTTTGCTGCTTGCCTCTGCCTTTGGAGAGGGTAAGTAATATGACTGTTGGGAGTGGAGGTGCCTATTCTGGAACAGGTAGCCTCAAGAGCATGTGGGTTTTGAAATCACTTTGAAGAACTTTGGGATCAGGGCAGGAGTACTGAAGAAGAGCAGTCTACTTTAAGCACATTTTCCCACCTTCCCCTCTCTACAGAGCCAATAATAGGGTGAGAACAGCCTCTTGCAGCTATAGTCTCAGCTCAATTTTTCCCTTTTCTCCCTCCCCCTCCCATTAAATATGACCACAATTCCTAAATGCCAGAAAAATCTGGGTTTAGAGTTTAAATTGAGGGAAGCGGGAAGTAGGGCTCCCCAGAAAGTGATCTTGAACATTATTCTTGGATGAGCTGATAGCCTCTGAGCATGCTACAGATAGCCCTCTAAACACAAGATGGCTAGAGAGAGGGGTGGGGGGGGGAATAGTGGGAAAGGAGATTGGATGACGATGCTTTTACTGTTTTATTGTGGGAATAGTTAATAAATGTGGAATGTTAAGAAATGTGGAAGGTTGATGGAATCCTCCAACCTTCTAACTTGATGGTAAGACAACAAATACCAATTGCATTCCCATCAGGGATGGGACACAGTTGGGTGAGTGTTTGGGAGAGTACATTTATCCACCCATTAGATTGTCGGGTAGATGTCATCCATGAGCCAAGGATGGTTGCTATTGGTGGTGAATATAGGAGAAGAGTTGTATGTCATGTTTCTTCATCTCAGGTATCAGCAAGCAGCCATCATTAAGGGTAATTTTCATGTTGGCTAAAATAGATGCTGTAACAGCCCTGTGTGTGATAACTATGGAGGTATTTCTGGTGTATATGTCTGGCGTCTTCTGTAAAGCCAAGAATTAGAATGAAGCTGAAATGGGCAACTGCCATTAGCAGTGCTCCAGTATTAAGTCAGGTATTTTTGTGAAACTTTCCAGGTTGCTCGTCTTTATGCATTCATAGAGTCTTTCTTGCTCTAATGCTCCTTCCCCCGTCCCCCAGGTACTGGATTCAAACTCTCATCACCTCTGACAAGCCCAGTTACAGGTAGTCTTTGACTTATGACCACGATTGGAACCAGAACTTCCATTGCTAAGTAAAGTGGTTGTTAAATGAGTCACACTCAATTTATGATCTTTCTTGCCAGGGTCATTAAGTGAAACTCTCATTGTTGTATGAAACCTGAAGTCATTAAGTAGATCCAGCTTCCCCCATTGACTTTGGTTGTTGGAAATTGGTTGGGAAGGGTGCATATGGTGATCATGTGACCCTGGGATAGTACAACTATCATTCGTTGTCAAGGGCCTGAATTTTCATCGTGTGATTGTAGGAACACTGTGATAGTCATAAGTGGGAAGACCTGTTGTAAGTCACTTTTTTCAGCGCCATCATAACTTAGAACTGTCGCTAAATGTATGGTTGTAAGTCAAGGACTACTTGCATTGTGCTGGTCCAACACATTTAGCTAAAACATTTCAGATGGCCAAGCTGAGGATTGGAGAAGGTTCCAGCTTCAGGCCTTGGAATGCTAACTCAGTGACCACACTAGATTAGAAGGATCAATGGCCTAATGTCCTATTCCATAACTCAGGGCGCAAGCACCATTCTTCCCCTTCTACAGACCAAGGACCTCTGCCTCTGAGAGTGGAACAGAAACCAGGATGTTCCCTGTTTTAAACCTTGTTGAAATTTGAAAATGGTATGGCATGGGGGTTTCTCTTTCTGCTTCCTTTCTTTCTAATCTTGAAAACAAAGCATTGCTTAAGATACTCTTTCCCAGCCTCTTAACCAGACAGGTAGCAAACGAGAGGTGTGTAGCAGTGGTGGATTCAATTTTTTTTACTACCGGTTCTGTGGGCGTGGCTTGGTGTGCAGGGGAAGGATACTGCAAAATCTTCATTCCCACCCCACTCCAGGGGAAGGATACTGCAAAATCCCCATTTCCACCCCACTCCAGGGGAAGGATACTGCAAAATCCCCATTCCCTCTCCACTCCTGGGGGAAGAATATTGCAAAATCCCCATTCCCTCTCCACTCTGGGGCCAGCCAGAGGTGGTATTTGCCAGTTCTCCGAACTACTCAAAATTTCCGCTACAGGTTCTCCAGAACCTATCAGAACCTGCTGGATTTCGCCCCTGGTGTGTAGTCTAAGCCTTGCCCATTTGGAAGATATCCATTTGGAAAAATCAAAGCTTTAAAGTTAGCACGGAGAAAGAGGCATAAGGCAACCATGTCTGCAGTAAGTCACCCGCTTGCCGCTGTTGACTGACTAGGCAAGTGGCAAAGCGCAGTGGCTCTTGAGAGGTTCTCCACTGGAGTGCTTGTGTGAGTGGGCTTTGGAGAGAGAGGAATTCGCATGACCCTTTTCTGATTTTTTTCAGGCTGTACAACTATTCAAGGGTCACCCTTGGCCTTTTTGTGGCACGTCAAGGGTTGCATTCCAAAAAGTGGGTAGATCTGGGACGAGATTCAATCTGCTTTAATTTAAACACAGCAATAGGTTAACCATTTTCTCCCTTTGCCCATAAAAAAGTACAATTTGGGAAAATGGGGAGGGTTTCGGTGTGTGTGTGTGTGTGTGTGTGTGTGTGCAATTTTGGGACCCAAGCTGTGCCATCAGCTGATGGCCTTTTCCCATCTCAGATGCTTTGAGGACACTCCCAGCTTCAGAGAAGAAAGAGGTCCTGCGGTCCTTTGGAGATTCACAGGCTCATTGCAGCTTCTATAGGCTTTAATTAATGTATGCAAGGACTGAAAGCTCCGAAGCCCCTCCACCAGTGGTGGAATACAATTTTTTTTTTACTACCGGTTATGTGTGCGTGGCTTGGTGGGCGTGGTGTGGCTTGGTGGGCATGGCAGGGGAAGGATACTGCAAAATCTCCATTCCCACCCCCTCCAAGGGAAGGATACTGCAAAATCTCCATTCCCTCCTCACTCCTGGGGGAAGGATATTGCAAAATTTCCATTCCCACCCCACTCTGGGGCCAGACAGAGGTGGTATTTGCCGGTTCTCCAAACTACTCAAAGTTTCCGCTACCGGTTCTCCAGAACCTGTCAGAACCTGCTGAATAGCACCCCTGCCCTCTCCCCTTTTTTGGGGGGGGGGAATCCAATCCAGTGCATCTCACGGCCCTAATAGAGAATACTAGGAGTGGTTGTTTTCCATTCTGCAGAGCAGAAATAGAAACCATCACACCACCACTCCCATAATTTATCACGTGATCATGAAAGCCCTGGGGAATTTAGTTCTGGTTTATGAGTAGCCACTATAGATTATGATGAGCCAGTTACAGCATAGTCCTCAGCTTGTTCAGTCAGATGCATGTTCCACTGGAAGGATTCAAACAGGTTTTATCCCCAAACTGTAAGAATGCAGTCTTCAGGTACAGGACAGCTCTGCTCCCTTAAGGGTAAACCTCACTGCTTAGGGTAGTTTACTTTCCAGGAATGCAACCTGTTTTTTTGAATGCTGCAGCCATTATGCTTCTCTTGCTCCACTACTATGAATGAGAAACACAGAGGAGGCATGTTCTGTAGCCATATTCCTGTCTCCAGTGAAAAACTGCTTTTGGGAAGAGGTGGTCTGATCAAGTGAGAAGGACCGAGATAGCGCTTGGACTTCGGCAGAATTCGTCTGTAGGCATTTAGGCGGAAAGCATTTGCAGTTGTTGTGAGATACTTTCCTGAAAGGCTATGTGTGATGGCAATGTCACTGCATGCAAGAATTGGTAAAGCTATACATCCAATTGCTATGAGGGTATCCTGAGTCCATTGGGTGGTTGCTATGGTGGCCTCTTCTCATCAGGAAACCTGGCTCCATTCCCTTTTCCCACATTCATATGTCTGTGTCTCCCACTGCCTGGGCTACTCCTACTCTATTCCCTCTGCTGCAGAGACACCCTGCTTTAGATCTGGGAGGGGCGCTGCCTTTTGTCATGGGAACATCCTTCCACTCCCCTTCCCCCATTTTTGGGTGCTGAGCCTTGGGGGGATACTTTTGATCTCCAACCTTGCTTTTATCTAGTGCCAGAGGGGGCCCAGGTAGGGAATTTCCCCCTGCAAACTCAACCACCCAGGTGCAGCCCTCTCCCTTAGGTGGTGGAGCCTGGCTGGATGGCCAGAAAGTGTTTTTTTACAACTCTGCACACAAGTTTGACAAAATGCACTAAGCCCAGCTCTGTGTGGAGAGAGAAGCCTGTGTGGAGTAAAAATTAAAATGCAGGAGATACGATTTTTCATTGCCTATTTCTCCCACACACTCCAGGAGTTTGCCTTCTGCCCCTCTGTCAGAATATGAAACCATCTAGAAGGTTTTGTAGTGGAGCCAGGGTTGGTGGCCAGGACATCTGGGTCCTCTTCTCTCTCATGGAAGAAAGAGGAAAATATTTATATATGTCTGTCTGTGTGTGTGTGTGTGTGTGTGTGTGTGTGTAATGTGTGTGTCTGTTTCAGAGGTGGGTTTTAGCAGGTTCTGACCAGTTCTGGAGAACCGGTAGCGGAAATTTTGAGTAGTTTGGAGAACTGGCAGTAAAAATTCTGACTGGCCCTGCCCCATCTATTCTCTGCATCCCAAGTCCCAGCTGATCTGGAGGAAATGGGGATTTTGCAGTAACCTTCCCCTGGAGAGGGGTGGGAATGGAGATTTTATAGTATCCTTCCCCTGCCACGCCCACCAAGCCATGCCCACCAAGCCACACCCACAGAACCGCTATTAAAAAATTTTGAAACCCACCACTGGTCTGTATGTACAGGTAGCCTTTGACCTACAACCATAATTGAGCCCAAAATTTCTGTTGCTAAGGGAAGCATTTGTTAAGTGAGTTTTTTACGACCTTTCTTGCCAGTTGTTAACCACTGCAGTTGTTAAGCTAATAACACAATTGTTCAATGAATCTGGTTTCTCCTTGCCAGAAAGTCACAAAAGGGGATACTGCAACCGTCATAAATATGAACCAGTTGTCAAGCATCTGAATTTTGATCACATGACCATAGGAATGCTGCAACGATTGTAAGTGTCAAAAATGGTCATAAATCTCTTTTTTTTCCAGCACCGTTCTAACTTCAAACGGTCACTAAATGAACTGTTGTCAGTTGAGGACTACCTGTATTTAAATTTATTAGCCAACCAACTCCAGTGGTCTTTGGAGTTTCAGAACAGTTCAGCTTCATTCTTCAATTCTAACCTGGAAGTGGAGAATATATCTCCTATCTGAATTTGGTGAAAATACGTGGAAAAGAAAGAATTTTTGTGCCTGGGAAAAGAGGCAGAAATGGTGCTGCTCCAGCATTTTGTGTGGCATGTTACAAACTACGCTGGCAAGCCTTCCCTTGATTCACAAGCCTCTCCCTCTTCCTTGGTATTTAAGCCAGAGAGCCACTACCATTTCCTGCTGGGTTAGATTATTTATAATACATATAAATATCCTCTAATTAAAAAAAAAAAGCATAGCACAATAAGCAGCTATTACCAGCTGTTACAGCTGATCACAACTATTCTGTCGTGTTCCCTGGTCTGGTGGTTAGGAATAATTTTACTCAGTCTGTGAATGGCCCCTTAATTGGAGATCCTGGACATAGCCAAATGACCATATTAAAGTAATATTCATCAGTTACTGCCCTGGTAGAAAAGTATGTCACGGAATACACCTGCGCAGACTGGTGAATCCTATTCTATTTCAGTAACAAGTGCGGCAATTAGTTTAGTTTAGTTTAGTTTATTGAATTTATATACCGCCCTACTCCCGAAGGACTCAGGGCGATGAACAGCCAAAAGATAAAATACATGTAATACAAATGTCAAAAAACCATTAAAATACGATTAAATAATTTGGCCCAGAAAACAAAATTTAAAAACCCCAATTTTTATACGACAAATTTAAAATTTAAAACTTTAAAAAACAGTTTAAAACAGAGGTTAGGCCAGGCCGGCCTGCTGGAATAGGAATGTTTTGAGGGCACGGCGGAAAGCGTGCAGATCAGTGATCCTCTGTATCTCTGGGGGGAGCTCGTTCCAGATGGCAGGTGCTCCCACAGAGAAGGCTCTCCCCCTGGGGGCCGCCAGTCGACACTGTTTGACTGACAGCACCCTAAGAAGCCCGTCTCTGGGAGTGTACTGGTTGGTGAGAGGCTACTGGTGGCAGAAGGTGGTCTCGTAGATACCCCGGTCCTAGGCCATGGAGTGGTCTAAAGGTGGTAACCAAAACCTTGAAGCGCACCCGGAAGACCACTGGGAGCCAGTGCAGCTCGCGCAGGAGGGGGGGTCACATGGGAGCGCCACATAGCTCCCATAACCACCCGCGCGGCCGCATTCTGGACCAGCTGGAGCCTCCGGGTGCTCCTCAAGGGGAGCCCTATGTAGAGAGCATTGCAGTAGTCCAGGCGGGAAGTGATGAGGGCATGAGAGACCGTATTTAATGAATCCCGATTCAGAAAGGGACGCAACTGGCGAATCAGGTGAACCTGATAAAATGCCCTCCCAGCCACAGCCGTCAGATGCCCTTCTAAAGACAGCTGTGAGTCTAGGAGGACACCCAGAGTGCCCAAAGCACATGTGAATGCACTTGTGCGTGCCCGAACCCCCCAAATGCAATGCGAGCACCCATGCACATGCGCCTCGCACATGTGGACACGTCCCCCTGTGCATCCCCCCCATTTTGGGCCTGGAAAGCCTCCTGTACCAACATGGCAGCCAAAATGGGGCCGGGCGGTGCCGCATGAGGCCCCACCGCGCCCTGTTTTGGCTTCCAGGTTGGTGCAGGCAGCTTTTCAGGCCCAAAACGGGGCACGGGGGAGGGGAGGGCTTGCACGGCACCCGCATGCTCCCATTTTAGTTTCCAGGTTGGTGCAGGAGGCTTTCTAGGACCAAAACGGGGCATGGGGGGGGGGGACCTCTCGTGCTGCGCCCCTGTGGCCCATTTTTTTTTTTAAAAAAAATTGATTTATATGCCGCCCTTCTCCGGAGACTCAGGGCGGCTTACAATGCGTTAAGCAATTTTGGCTTCCAGGTTGGTGCAGTTGGTTTTCCAGGCCCAAAACAGGGCGCAGGGTGAACGCACATGCGAACCCCCAAAATGCAATGTGAGTGCCCCCCCACGCATGCACCCTGCCCCTGTGCATGGGCGTGTGCGTCCCCTGCATGCGCCCTGTGCATGCGTGGCAGAGACCTGAAGACCATCTGGCCGGTAGGAGGCATGCGCACATGCGCGGTGGAGCTGGGCTGGCGTGCCCACTGAGAGGGCTCTGCGTGCCACCTGTGGCACATGTGCCATCAGTTCGCCATCACAGCTGTAACCTAACCCAAATGGCTACTGTACTAAGGGCAGGTTTTCAGCAATGTAAAGCAGCTGATAGGGCTTGGCAGATTCCAACTCTGTCCACACCCACAAAGATGCTAGTGATGAATCGTGTTAGATTGTATCAGTGGGCAAAATGGTTTCAGGAGGAACCCTTTCACTACTTTGAAACTAGGTCAGCTAAAGATGGCTCCAAATCACCTTAGCTCTGTGCTGAGGAGGTGGTAAAGGCAACCCTGGTCTATGGTATGTGGGAATGGCCTTGGGAGGCAGGGGAATGAGAAGCTGCCTAGGGAACAGTTAGATAGAGGGAGGAGAGGGAGTTATGCAGTTGCATAACAGGCAGAGAAAGAAACTCAGAAAGGAACTCCCTCTAACGTATCAGGCTGTTAACGGATACAGCCAGAGATTTATACTTTCAGATTTGTAAGACACTGTTAATGTAGCCTTGCAATAAAGCAGAATTACCTCATCTGGTTGCGTTTCCTGTCTGATCTACCTGGGAAGCCTGACACCCTGGGAGGACACTGGATAAAAAAAATGGTTACCGGGCATGTTGATGCTACAATTAGGATGTCAGCCTTCCCAGGCAAACCAGATAAGAAATACAACTAATTCTACTTAATTGTAAGGTTACTTTAACAGAACCTTGCAAGTCTGAGTACAAACTTCCCACCGTCGCTTTTAATTGCTCGATCCATTTCTTTCTCTGACCATTAAGCTACTGGGGGTTCCTGCCTCTCTTGACTGATTTTTTCCAATGAGCATCTCTTTCTCTCATTCGCCAAGGTGATCCACAGTGGTGTATTAACCATTAAGCAGACTAAGCACGTGCTTAGGGCACCAGGCCCAAAGGGGGCACCACAAAGTTGAGAAAGAAAAAAAAAAATCCAATGAAGATTTGTACAGTATGTACAAAGGGGGCACCAAGATTTGTCAGTGCTTAGGGCACCAGTGAGCCTTAATCCGCCACTGGTGATCCACATGTTCCATTACATCAGGGAATGCACAATTTTTTTTAAAAAAAGTTTTTTAAAAAGTTTTTTATTTTTATGTTTAAACAAACAATACGTCATTAATTATTCAATGTGTCATCTGAGTACATATTTTGTGTCATCATATTCCTCCTTTACCATCATTTTCTTACTACATTTCTATCTTTTACATTTTAATTTAATTACATTTTTTCCAAATTTCTTGAATTTATATTTTTATTATATCTCATCTCTATCCATTGATAGATTTGCCCCCATTTCCTATAATACTCCGACTCTTCCTTTCCCTTAATTGCCAGTGTTAGTCTATTCATTTCTGCGCATTCCAATATTTTCTTAATTACTTCTCCCTCTATAGGGATTTTTTCTGCTTTCCAATTTTGTGCAAATACAATCCTCGCAGCAGTTATTACATGTATATTGAACCTATTCTCTCTCTCTCCCTCCCTCTCTCCTTTACTCTCTCTCTCTCTCATTCCTAACTCATTCTTGCTCTGAGATCAAGCTATAAAATGCTTCCTGCCCATTTTCTCTCTTCCTCTCAAATTTTCCTTTCTCTTTTAGAATGCTGGGCCACAGTTCCTTGGGACCCAAAGTGCTGGCAGAATCTGTTCTGAATTCTAACGCCATGTGCATGACCCTGCCCTGGCTAACCCGGCGCCAATTTGGACTCTGTGTACGCAGCCCAGAAGTGATGGCTTCAGCCTTACAGGGCATCCACCTTGCCCTGCACGAGTGCCAACACCAGTTGCAAGAGAGGCGCTGGGATTGTTCGGACCTGAGCAGTGGGGGCACTGTGCTTCTTAACAGTGCCATTCTGAAGAGAGGTGAGCGGAGGATTAAGTGGGAGAAAATGCTGGGCAGGGGACTGAGATTTTCTTCCCTCTTCCTTGGGGTTGGGGTGGGCAATAAAATTAAGAGTTGGTTCATCTCTCACTGCCCATGATTCCCATTCTATCCTCTCCTTTCCTCTGTTACTGATATAGTGCCCACAAAAATGAAGTAACATGGGATTACAGAAAAACAAGGAAGACTGTCAGCATACCTGGGCAACTTGGCATGAATAGATCTATATTGAAAATGTAAATGCAAGCATCCCGAAGGAAGATATGGCAAGACCATGCCTGTGGATCTTTGTTTGTAGAAAAGGAACCTGCCGCATTTTGTTTCAGGCCTAGCTGGTCTTCATTTAGTTCAGGGGTGTCAAACTCAATCCGGCCTGCAGGGTGCTTAGATCTGGCTCGCAGGGCCGACCTGGAAACAGCGGGGCCGACCTGGAAACAATGAAGGGCCGGCCCATGGTGCCTCTGCCAGTGAAAACAGAGCTCGAGAGGGCTGCATGCAGCCCTCCCGAGCTCTGTTTTTTAGACAGGGTTGCAGGAGGCCGTCATAGCCAAAAACAGAGCTTGGAAGCCCATTTTCACTGGCAGAGCGCTCGGGCCACCACAGGCGCCCCAGACATGAGTGACGTCGAGCTGACCATGCCTCCCCTGGCCACACACACCCCAGGGCCCCCCCAGGTCTAACACAACCCTGATGTGGCCCCCAATGAAATCGAGTTTGATACCCCTGATTTAGTTACTAAGCCTCTTGGATAAAATCTTTTCTTTCCCCCATGGCTCCTTAAAGGCTTCAATATAAATTGCTTCCAACATTTGATTTGTTTCATGAAGATATGTTGTAGGTCATTAGAAATATAAAAGGGGGGAAAGCAGGGCTGGTGAGTGAAATTGACCTGGCTCATGAGCTTCTGCACCTAGAAAGTATTGTGAGAGTAAGAATCAGAAATCTGTCTTTGTCATTTGAAAACATTAGCTTTTAATTACCCCTCCTGGATTATATTTAAAATGCCACAGTAGGTATTAAAAGAGCCGTGGTGGCGCAGTGATTAGAATGCAGTACTGCAGGCTAACTCACTGCTCACTCCAGGAGTTCGATTCTGACCGGCTCAAGGTTGACTCAGCCTTCCATCCTTCCAAAGTCAGTAAAATGAGGACCCAGATTGTTGGAGACAATATGCTGACTCTATAAACCGCTTAGAAAGGGCTGTCAAACACTGAAGCTGTATAAGTGCTAAATGTCTAAGTGCTATTGCTATTGCATGCAATGAATTAGGCAGTCTTTTTGCCTTGTTGCAAAAAGAAAACGTGGAGTTGAAGAAGAACTTTCTCTGCCTCGGTAAGTCACGGAAATAAGGAGACTGAAGAAGGGCAAAAGGGTTCAAAGAACAACTCTATAGTAAAACTTACCCTTTTACAGAGACTTGCTGCAACTCTGCACTGATGCCAACTCCATTAATGGATCCTTCAAACAGCTTCCCTGGATTTTTGGAACTAGGGGTAACACTTTAAAAAAAGGGGACAGGGAGATTTCCAGGACTGCAGATTAGTGTTATCAGAGTGCATGAGGCTAAATGTATCACCCCTGGATATTTTAAGATTGAGAGGAAGAGGGATATTTTTGTGAGTAAAAGGATAGAGTAAATAATGTGCCTCTGTGGGTTTAGGGCACCAATTTTGCTTCTGATTATGTCCCCGTCCCGCCAAAAAGAAAAATCGGGGATAATTATGCCCTTGAAAACTATTGATTTGTCAACACAGTTTAGATGTTCTCTGAAAGCTGAAAACTGGATATAGTCAGTTGGGCCTTGAGTTGCTACCCCTGATTTAACTATTAATCCAGTTTGGATGTTGAAACCAAAAATTACTGGGCCATGGTCCAGGAGTTGGGGGCCCCTGGTCTAAGCTATCTGAAATGAATTCTTCCCTCATTGTACATTGTACTATGCAGCCAACTATTTTCAGTTTGAAAGTAAAATTGGTTGCACCAGGAAGAGGAACAAATAAAGGTGGTAGGGGTAGGATGTAATTCCTGTAGGGCTGCTGTCAGCAAATAGCACCTTTGAGCCAGTCAGAATTGCTTCAAACTGGGAGATGGCAGCAAATAAATTTGATACTAATAATCTCTGCCCCATCACCTCAAAATGGCTTATTGCTAACTCCCACCAAATAGGAGCAGCAGCAACCACCAGCTGTTCCTTTTCCTTGCATCAGTAAAGATCCTGCTGCTGAGTTTGGGCTTCTTTGGTTGCCTCGCTGTCATCGGCTCCTTCCCGTACTGTTCCCGTACCTGTGCTGCGGAGGGAGGATCCTTGACTGTGAACTCCAACTCCTAGCATCCCTCACCATTGGCCATACTGGGAAGAATGCTGGGAGTTGAAGTTTAGCAACATTAAGAGGACCATCATCCTTTTAAGGAATGGACAAACCTGACAGTAACTGCTTGGGCACAGTCTTCAGGAAAAGGGGTAATTTGTAGAAGACTCTTGACCACAAGTAGAGTTGGGAAAAGGCACCCTTGATGGTGGATTCCTGACTTGAAAAGGTATGAGCGAGAGGAATCCTGCCAAAAGCAACAGCAGCAATTCGTTGCTTTTGCTTCCTTTTCTCCTTAGCTGGACCAACAACTGGGAAGCAGTGACTAGCAGTGATTCTGATGCCCGTCTGCATCTGTGTTCTGTGGGTGGCATGGCAGCAAGCATCGTCTCCCAGGTGGAGGGAGCAGCTGAGAGCATTTTGCCAAAGCCTGCCTGGTCACGGCTGCCCTTCTTTACGCCCCTGCCTTTCTTCCCAGGTGCTGCCTCACCCAGGCCTCTTGCCTTCGTTGTATTAAGAGTGGCCAACACCTGACTCCAGAGGCAAATTGGCAGGCATCTCTTTTCTTTTGTCCTTTGCATCTCTTTTATTAATTGAGCTTTGAAGGAGCCGGTTCTAAATTTAAACCTGAGTTCAAAGCGAGGCCTCTGGGCAGGCAAGAGCTGGAGCAAGCTCCAACCCAAGCACCTGGGCTGAGCCGCTGCTTGATGTGTCAGCTGCTGCTTGATGTGTCATGAGTTTGGTGGGGCTCATCTGCGTTCACAGGAATAGGAGAAGCATCAGGAGACTAATGAAGAATGGATTAAGGAGGAAATGCCTAATAGGTACCAGGGACTAGAGGCATTGTGATGATAGATACCATGGCTAATTTACATTACAAAGCAAGTCTGTATCAATTTATAAACAACAATCAAGAAGAAAAATACCAGCTCTAGGCATGTGTGATGCTTAGCAGTCCTAATGAGTTCAACGCAACATAGGTAGGAATACTCATGTTTCTCAACCTGATGTTCTCCAGATATGTTGAACTGCAGCGCATTAACTCCCAACCTGCCCAACAGTTGTATCTGTGTGATTTTACAAAATGTTGAGGTCCAACGTATCTGGAGGCATCAGCTTACAGAAGGCTGTAGACAAGGGCATATTTAGGCTATGGAGTAATTTAGGAGTAATTGTTTTTCCCTATGGAATCCTGGGATTAGTGCATTAGTGAGGCAGGAAGATCCAGAAGTTCTTTAGGGAAGCAAGATGTAATAACTCATCCATATTGTGAAGTTAAATAGTTTTAAAGTAGATTTTCAGAGACCACCCACAGTTTTAATTCAGTTTGAATTACTAGCTGTTACATATGCACACATGCTTAATTTGATGAAAGGATGACAATCCAGCTTTCTTCAACCCCAAATGAGGATTATTTCAGTTTTGGATTTAGATATGAGGATGATGTAAAGTGGACAGAGTACTGTAGTCCTCATTTTTTTTAAAAAAAATGAAGGAATTGTGGTGGGATTAAGAGCCTCAGTGGCGCAGTGGTTAAAGTGCAGTACTGCAGGCTATTTTCTGCTGACTGCCAGCTGCCAGCAATTTGGCAGTTCAAATCTCACTGGGCTCAAGATTGACTCAGCCTTCCATCCTTCCGAGGTGGGTAAAATGAGGACCAAGGTAGTTGGGGGGCAATTGTTGACTCCGTAAAACTGCTTAGAGATGGCTGTAAAGCACTGTAAAGCGGTATATAAGTTTATTGCTATTAAGCAGACATTGACCCCTGCTGATCTTACACCTAAATGCCCAAGAGTCAAAACATCACCTTGAACACAAGTGCTTCTTATGTAAAGGCTTCTTGGCTTGAACCTCTAGCAAACTTTCTACTCTTCACTGTCTCTGCTTCCTAGGCTTCCGGGAAAGCGCCTTTGTGTTCTCCTTGCTAGCAGCTGGTGTGACCCATGCAGTGGCAACTGCATGCAGTCTGGGGGAACTACAAAGCTGTGGCTGTGCCAGACAAGGCACGGAGAACCAGAAACTGAAACTCAGCCAGCTGCAGTCTCTAAGCCGGGGCAAGAGCCTGCCCCCTATGCCATCCTCATTGTGGGGACAGCCTAGCCCGCAGGACACCTGGGAATGGGGTGGCTGCAGTGCAGATTTTGCATACGCCCAGAGATTTACCCGGCATTTTTTGGACCCACGAAGAAAACCCCGTGATGCCCATGCCCGGATGCAGCTACACAGTCATCGTGTGGGCAGAAAGGTAAGATGTGAATCTTGGGCAGGGTTTTGGAGGATGGGAATGTTGTCAGTAATATGTGGCATAATGAAAGCTCTGCAAAAGGGTAATCATGGAGACAAATCTTATTCAGGGGTGGGCTTCAAAAATTTTAGCAAGGGGTTCTCTGCCCGGTTGCCGGGTGGGCGTGGCCATAGTGGGCATGGCCTAGTCAGCCTCCTGCACTACGGTGGGGAGGGAGTGTTTTTGCCCTCCCCAGGCTCCGGAGGCTTTCCTCGAGCCTCTGGAGGCTGGAAACAGGCCCGTTTCTGGCCTTCCCAAATTTCCGGTAGGCCTGTTTTTCACCCTTCCCGAGCCTCCGCGCACGCCCTGCACTTACCTGCATCCAAAATGGGCCACGTGGGGACTCCTGGGAGGGGCGGGGTGGGGCCAGCCAGGAATGGGATTTGAAGATTCTCTGAACTGCACAGAATCTTAGCTAGAGGTTCTCACGAACCCCTACGAACCCGTAGCAGCCCATCCCTGATCTTATTGCTACAATTCTGCCACAGTTGCATTACTTGGTGTTAGTAACAGTTAATCTATTTCTGTTGTCTGGTACAGTATTTAATATTCTCAGAATTCATGGGTTTATGTTTATGCTAACGTGCAGCTATCATGGCCATGGTGATGAGTTTGAGAAATAAAGTTGATAATATTAAATGTGGTTCGATTAAATTCAGATTCTTTTCCCAAACCATGTGTTGAGACACTGTGGTGTGCAAGAGAAATACATTCTAACAACCTACTCTCAGAGGGAAGGTGCCTGCTGTGTCTCTGCATGATTTACCATTCTAATTATGCTTGCTTCCATTCATGAATTCTACTGTATTTCTACATTAGATGTAGAGATTTAGCACAATTATTTATGTTATTTATTCCCAATAATAATATTCCCAGGGAGGCATTAGGATTTTCTTCTTTGGCATAAAACTCTGATGGAGCTTGCTTCTATTAATCAGGCAGTATGCTTGGAGTAGCTGATCCAACAGAAATACAATTGCTTGGCTCCTCTAAATGAAACTTTCTCATATGAGAGAGTAAACTGTGCTTACATCAATGCAACCCTCTGGATAATAAGAAATTTGGGAGCAAGTTTATAATCCTGCTTTAAAAGTTGTCTGCATATATCATCATCCAAAATGGAGACATTCTGCAAAATTCAAGCGAGAAAACTGGAAAAATAGTTATTTTCTAAAAAAATGAATGTGGGTTTATTTGACTCCTGTCTGAGAGTTTGTTCTATTGTAGAGCACTTTTCAGATTTGTCCTGATTTTCCTTATAGATGCTTTTTAAATATTGAGACTATAATGGGTAGAACTTGGAAAAGCAATAAAATAGGTTTTTAGAATGAATTAAACTGAAATGCACCATTGCCTATGAGTTTGGAAGCTATGTATGAGACATGCCTCTGAGAGGGGGAATCATGCCACTCTCCAGCCATTGTTTCCCTGTAAATAGTCCTTGGACTTATGCTGTAGAGGAAATGTTAGGCCTCCACAATCAACTGCTTTGGATAGTCCTGTCCTCCATTAAATTATCCAGTACTTTTACAAGTCACCAAGTAAGTGATCATCACCATGACTTCTGGCAAAGAATTATGCAGATTCATTCTTCACTATGTGAAGGAGTGCTTTCTGCGATCCGTTTTAAATCTTCTCATCCACCTCATAGGAAGGCATTTGTAGTATTTTGAGACAAGGTGAAGAGCTTTTCATTATGCCGTGAATGTTTTTATTCATCTATTAGATCCCTCTTTTTTTTTCAAGCTAAAGTGTTTGGAAGACTAGGTTTTGTCCTCATAGGGAAGATGTTTGAATTTGGGTCCTCCTCTTAACATATTTTTTTTTCCAGCTCTGTTAGATATTTTTCCCCCAAATGTGGCAACAAAAAACTATCCACATCTCATTCCAGATGTGCATGTACTATACATTTATATGGGGTTATGATAAGGGTTAGCATTTTTATTCTGTCTCTTTCCTAATTCTCCCTAGCGTGAAATCTGTCTTTTCTATACGGGGTAGTCAACACTTTCACTGAGCTACTCTTTACAATCCCAAGATCATTTTCTTGGTTGGTTAAAGACGGCTCAAAGCCCATCAGCCTAAATGTGAAACTAGAGGATTTTGTTCCAATGTGTATCACTTAACACTCACTTAAATTGAATTCCATTTGCTGTTTGGCTGACCATTCACCCAGTTTGAAGAGATCCCTCTGGTGCTCATCACAATCCCGCCTAGTTTTTACCTCTTAGAATATTTCAGTGTCATCCATAAACTCAGCCAGCTCATTGCTTATTTGTCAAGATTGTTTATGAATATCCTTGTGGGATTCCACTTTTTTCCTCTTTGAGAAAATTACCCATTTAATCCTATTTGGGGGATTTTTTTAAAAACAGTTTTTAATGATGAACGTCTATTTTCTTTTATGTACACTGAGAGCATATGCACCAAGACAAATTCCTTGTGTGTCCAATCACATTTGGCCAATAACAAATTCTATTCTATTCTATTCTATTCTATTCTATTCTATTCTATTCTATTCTATTCTATTCTATTCTATTCTATTCTAGGACACTTCCTCTTATCCATTGATGCTAAGTTTACTCAAAAAGTTTTGAAAAGGAAACTTCTCAAAGGTGTTTTTTTTTTAAATCCAGGTATATTGTGTTGACAGAGTCAGCTGTAAAAACCTCTAAAAGGTTGGAGAGGCAGGTGGCATACATGTCTACATGAAAGCTATATATTGCAGGTAGAGGTAGTCCTCAACTTACAACAGTTTGTTTAGTGACTGCTCAAAGTTAGAACAGCACTGAAAAAAGTGACTTATGACTGTTTTTCACAGTTACGACTGTTTGCGGCATTCCCATGGTCACATGATCAAAATTTGTCTGCTTGGCAACTAGTTCATATTTGTGCTGGTTGCAATATGCCATGGTCATGTGATCACCTTTTGCAACCTTATGACAAGCAAAGTCAATTGAGAAGCCAGATTCACTTAACAACCAGGTTGCTAACTTAAACCAGACTCACTTAACAACTGTGACAAGAAAGGTCGTAAAATGGGACAAAACTTACCTTAAGAAATGTCTTACTTAGCAACATAAATTTTGGTCTCGATTGTGGTTGTAAGTTGAAGACCACCTATACTCTCTAATAGCTGCCAGATCAGACATTAAGCAATCATAGCATAGCATGTGTGTTGCGCATGAATAGGTTGTGGTATATATATATATACTCACAAACAAACCAAGAATTTTAGGTGCCAAAATGCACTCAAAAAATTGGATTCAGTTTCTCTGCAGATGGACTTATCCATGAATGCACTGTAGGCAGTACTTCTAAAAATATATATCCACATATACTTATGGATAAGCTGACTCAATTTTTTAACTAAAATACCATGAAAAATAGATGCTGTAATCTATGGATTATCCAAGGATAAACCAATTGTGGAAATTAAAACATGCCAACATTTTGAGCGCTAGTATATCTATGAGTGGCACATTTTGGTTAAAAATTTGAGGGAAGGTTATTCATGAATGTGAGTATTTGTGAGTATAGACAGCATTTTGGTATTGGAAGTTCAACTAGAAAGGTAGGGGAATTCTGGAAGATTCCAGAAAGATTCCAGACTAAAAAAAGACTGGCGTGCTCCATAGACTAAAGACAGTTGAGATAACACTTCCAACTTATTTGGCTGATGCTTTCTTAGCTTTCTTATGTAAGTGCATGGCTAAATTATGGATTGGCCTGATTAAAAAAAATCTATGAAATATATGCTGGCTTTGGATTCTTAGGAAAAGAAATAGATCAGGGGTGAAATGCTACCAGTTCGGGCCGGTTCATCCGAACCGGTAGTAAAAAATGCTATTGGTTTGCCAAACCGGTAGTAAAAAAAGTTAAAAAAAAAAAGTTCTGAAGATAGCTGAGTGACGTGCAATCGTTGGAACTTTTTTTTGGTACTTTCCAGAGAACCGGTAGTAAAAAAATGCTTAAAAAGTTTGAGAAAAATAAAGTTCTGACAATTGCGCGTTGCTCAGCTGATCTTTAGAACTATTTTTTTTTTTACTTTTTAAGCATTTTTTTAATTACCGGTTTTCTGGAACAGGTAGTAAAAAATGTTTTAAAAAGGTTAAAAAAAGGTTTGGACGATCACAGCTGTGGCACGCGAGTTTGAGAACCTTTTAAAAAACTTTTTAAAAGCATTTTTACTACTGGTTCTACCAGCGGTGATCATCGTAACCTTTTTTTTTACGTTTATAAAGAATTTTTAATTATCGGTTCCAGAGAACCGGTAGTAAAAAATGCTTTAAAAAAGCTTTTAAAAAGGTTCCCAAGCTTGCACGCCACAGCTGATCCCCACCCCACCCCCGCTGTTCTACTTACCTCCCCAAGCCTCCTTTTGGCGCGTACTGTGTATGCGCAGCTAGTGAACAAGTGGCAAACCGGTTCAGATTTCACCACTGAAATAGATAAATTTCAATCAGCACCTTTGCTTCCTTTCCACAGGTACCACGAATTTCAATTCCTTGGTGGGATCAAAAGAAGCAAGGGATTTCAACCTTTTTCTACAGCTAACCTTCCCTTCTGGTCTCTCTTGGCAGGTGGTGTCAGAGCTGAGCAAGCGCAGGTGTAAATGTCACGGCCCTTCTGGGAGCTGCCAGTTTCGGACATGTTGGTTAGCAGCCCCTGATTTTCGCCACGTGGGTTCCATTTTACGGGATCGAATGGACCATGCCACACTCTCACGGCTGGACAACAGAAACTCAGGAGCCTTCTGGCCACGACTCCACAGTTCCCACCTGGCCAAGCACCTCATCTTTTATGAATCCTCCCCTGATTTCTGTGAACCAGATCCGAGCCTAGGTTCCTCAGGCACCCACGGCCGCCCTTGTGTCAAGAGCAGCCCGCAGCCAGATGGCTGTAGCAGCCTGTGCTGTGGGCGCGGCCACAACATGCTGCAGGAGGTGCGAGCTCAGCGTTGCCAGTGCCGTTTCCATTGGTGCTGCCATGTGCAGTGTGAGGAGTGTCCTTCCACAGAGTGGGTTAGCGTCTGCAAATGAATAGGGAAGGCCTAACCCCTTACGCTGTGCTCCAGCTAGCCATGTGACAAGTGCCTGCTGCAATATCAGCCATAGTGATCAGAAGACGAGCTTTGGGTTGCTGACTTGCTTTCGATGGGTCCCTTGCTCCGTCCTGGAAACATAGCTGATCATTCCAAGAGAAGACTTGCTTCCAATAGAGGGTGAGCAGCAAGGAAGAATTCCTCAAAGAGATACTCTTTTTTTTCACCTCTTGACCGCCAGCTTGGTCCTATCTCAGTTTATTGCAAACTGCCCTATATGATTTAACGGGTAGAGAATAGACTTGATCCTGTCCTGCCACTGCAGGAAGAAACAAAAAGAACCAAAGTGGCAAAAATTCTAAATTTTTCACAGGCTAGAGTCAAGGAAGGGAGACGTGTTAAAACCAGTATGGTCCCGGAACCTCAAAACTTCTCCTATATAAGGACTTGGAACATTAAAAGTTTTGGTTGGAGGGTATTTGCTGTTTGCAGCTACCATAGTAGGAGAAATAGACTGTCATTTGGGGTCAAAAATTAGCAGGAGATTTGCAAAAGTTGCAGTTGTTGCTAATAGCACAGCCCACTGGCAAAATTGAAACTGGGGTGCTGTATTGCAAGATTAATTTATTATTTTGCTCTTTTACTAATCTATATTTGTAAAGCTGTTTGTTATAGTTAATGGAGGGAAAGATGGTCTCTAGTTTTATCTGGGAAACCTATGTCTATTTCTTTTGTCAATCTGCATATGTTATGTGCTTCCCTTGAGTAAACGTGCGTTCCCCACCTCAAGCCCATATCTTCTGTTTGATTAAAGATTTCAGAGTCCATTGGCCAGAACAGATTTGTTTTACTACTACCTTTCTCACTTACACAAGTATTAGTTTCTTGGTTAAAATAAAATGATTTTAATGATTTTCACACCAAACGCTACTCGTACATAATGTATAGCACAGTGGAGCACTGTAACTACGTAATCAATCCTGAGATTTAAATCCACAATAACATCAATGCAATTAGTAAAAATACAGTTTGGTTTTAGGAAATTGCTCCAGTTAGAATTCAAAAGATAGAGAAGATGTTTATTTTAAAAAAAAACTTGTCCATGAAATCAAACTATAGACTAACTTAAATGGATTGGAAAGCTGGGTTTCAATCTAGAAAGGTAAACAAGCCAGTTTCCATAAGGTCAGAGCACATTACCTGGAGAACAAACTGGTGGGGGGTGGGGGAGAAATCAGTACCTACACTCTTAAACTCCAGAAACTAAGCTGGATCAAAATCTATATTTCCTTAATATTAGAGGGTTTCTGGTCTGCCAGGATTTAGAAGCCAATCTTGGATGCTTGCAGAATTCTTTGAGATGGAGAGTAGTTTCTTCTGCAGTTGTACCCATGAAGAAAACGTTTTTTCAGGACCCTCCTAGACACACAGTTGAAGTGCTGTTTACCTGCCTTTAGGTCACCAGGAACCTGATAGGCATAGTGAATGGCTTCCCCATTCATCTTTATTCTGCATCTGTTTCATGTCACTACCGTCCCATAAGTTCCCTTCAGGGAATGGGTGACTAAAGATTTTGCAGACATGAAGCCTATCCTGGGATGGTGTCAGAATAAAAGGGGAAATGCTACATTAGCAACTAAGGGTGAATTAAGCCTTTTCATAAGCTTACAAAGTAGTTTTTAGTTTGAAAATGTCTGGGAAGTGAAGTCTTGAGCAGAAGGTAATTAAAAAGTTTGCAGCCAGTTTCTAGAGCAGGGGTCGGCAACCGGCAGCTCTGGAGCCGCATGTGTCTCTTATCCCTCTGCTGCGGCTCCCTATCGCTGGTCAGCTCTACAATTGATAGGGGCTTTTGGTTAGGACAGGTAGAGGAAAAAGGACGCCATGCTAGGAGGAGATCTATGGTGGGGGAATGGGACATCCGGTCGGCTCCAGAATTGAACGGGGGGCTTCCGGTTAGGACCTTTGTGACTCTTTGAATGTTTAAGGTTGCCGAGCCCTGTTCTACAGCAATGTTTCTCAACTCAGCAATTTTAAACTGTGTGGACTTTAGCTCCCACAACTCCCCAGCCAGCATGCTAACCAGGGAAATCTGGGAGTTGAAGTCCACATAGCTTAAAGTTGCCGAGGTTGAGAAACATTGCTCTAAAGTAACATTAGATTGATGAGATGCCACTACAGGTAAATACTGGAAAAGGGGAAAACGTACCCTATACAAATAAGCCTGTTGCTCAAAATATACGTTAGTTTGGATGCAGTAATGCAACCAAATTGGCTTAGGAGTTACAGACACATGCCAGGAAGTGTTTGCCATCTAGTAAGTGTGGGAAAAGCATGGACTGTAATAATATATGTGGTTCATATGGGGTGTGTGTATATATGTGTTTGCAACTAGCTTGATATACGAGTGCATGCATGTAAGTGCCAAAACATCGCTTTCCTTGAGTCCAAACCACAGCCTGTGGAAATTCCTGTTGACTTCTGTCAGACCCTGGCTCTGGCCTCTGAGAAAGGCGCTTGCTGCAGCCAGTTCCATCGGGTGATTTACTACGTGGCCGCTGCAAGGCTGGAGCACCAGTCAGCTCAGGATGCTGCAGTTACCTAACAGAGCAGATGCTCCCCAAAAGCTACACTAAAGCATACTGCCACTTGAACAAGAACATGTTTGGATTGTAGTGGTGTTAGAGTGAGATTACCAGCTACTAAAATGTAAACATACAACAGTATGAGAGGCTCTGAATGACATGCAACCTCCAGAATTCCTCCAAACATTGCCATTAAATTCTGCTTTTTAATAGGTAACCATAATAATGCCTACCCCATGTTCCTTGTTGAGGAGAGATTGGACAAAATTGCTGTTTGATGCCTAATTTGCAAATCACACATTTCCTGCTGCCTAGTGCATCTTCTTGATAGCTTTGTATGGCAGGCATACAAAGTGTAGCAGAGTGGTGAAATGTAAAATTTGTTACTACCGGTTCTGTAGGCGTGGCTTAGTGGGGGAGGCCAACTTTTTTTTTTTTTTTTTACTTTTAAAAGCATTTTTTCTACAACCTCTTCTGCAGAAGAGGTTGTAGAAAAAATAAAAAAAAAAAAGCATCTGATGATCGCACTGCTCAGCTGGGCATTGGGGGGGGGGAGCATGCGCAGGGATTTTTGCTACCGGTTCTCTGAACCACCCACTGCCATCACTACCAGATCGGGTGATCCGGTCTGAACCGGGAGCATTTCACCCCTGGACCAGCCTATGCCAGTGATGGCGAATCTTTTGGGTCGGCCTGTCAAAAATTAGAAAAATGTCTAATTTGAGAGTCCTGGCATATCACATACACACCTCAAACAAAAGAGAAACAATTTTCTATCTCCCCCACCCTCAAGACCTATGTCACCCTGAACAGTGGCACTCGGCAACAGCGCCAAGGTTAGGCCTGAAATGAAGGCCCGGACCATCACTGTCACTCAAAAAGATTGCCTTGTGCCCAGTGGTGAAATCTGAACTGGTTTACAACCAGTTCACTGGCCGCGTATGTGCACCACGCACCCAACGCAAGCTGCACGCGTGCAGTGCGCACCAAAATGAGGCTTGGGAAGGTGAGTAGAACAGTGCAGGGGGGGTGATGATCAGTTGTGGCGCAGTTTAAAAAACTTTTTAAAAGCATTTTTTACTACCAGCTCGGGTGAATAGGTAGCAAAAAAATGCTTTAAAAAAGTAAAAAAAAGGTTCCGACAATCACATGGCACAACTGTGATCATTGGAGGCTTTTTTTTTTACTTTTTTAAAGCATTTTTTACTACCTATTCACCTGAACCAGTGGTAAAAAAATGTCTTTAAAAGGTAAAAAAAAAAAAGCTCCAATAATCACAGCTGTGCCGCGCGATCGTCAGAACCTTTTTTTTACCTTTTAAAAGCATTTTTTTACTACCGGTTCGGGTGAATAGGTAGCAAAAAAATGCTTTAAAAAAGTAAACAAAAGGCTCTGATGATCGCGCAGCACAGCTGTGATTGTCGGAACCTTTTTTTTTTAACTTTTTAAAAGCATTTTTTACTACCTATTCGTCCGAACCAGTAGTAAAAAATGTAAAAAACAAACAAAAAAAAAACGTCCGACAATTGCATGTCGCTCAGCTGATCATCGGAACTTTTTTTTTTTTTTACATTTTTTACTACTGGTTTGACAAACCAGTAGCATTTTTTACTACCGGTTCGGGCACCCAAGCCTTGGAGAATGGTGCAATTGCTTTGCAACCCAGCACTCCTGAGGATCTGTCATATCCTGCTTACCTTCAGGTGCAGGTGATCTTTCCTTTCTGTTGACAGGCCCTTGTGTGCTATGTGAGGCTGTTCCAGACCTCATGAAGCCCTCATTTTTGAAGCAGCTTTGGAGAATGCTCTTTTTGCAGCCTCTGCAATCTCCAAAAATGGTGTGAAAGCATACCCCATTCTCACATGATTTTGGGGGGTTCCAGAGGCCATGCAAGAGCATACTCTCTTCTAGTGCACCTCTGCAGCCTCCAAAAATTCCACAAGAACAGGGTGTACTTTCAAGAATAGTTGTTGATGAACGCTGGTGTTTCATCCAAAATGTTGTGGCATATCACCTTTGCCACACGCATCATAGGTTTGCCATCACTGGTCTATACCAACTCTCTTAAGGCCCCATTTATTTAATGGGAGCTGCCCAGAATATACCCTATAGCCGTGATGGCGAACCTATGTTACGCGTGCCAGAGGTGGCACACAGCTCCCTCTCTGATAGCACGTGGGCAGTCACCCCAGTTCAGCTCTGCTGTGCATGCATGCGCACCTGCCAACCAGCTGATCTTTGGGTCTCTGCCTGCATGTGCGGGGGTGGGGTGTGGGGGAATGCACATGCATGCCCATGTGGGGGCAGGTTGCATGTGGGGGGCACGGGCATGCACGGGATGCGACCCATGCAGGGGACTGCACATGCATGTGCAAGGGCAGGACACGTGTAGGGGGTCACCTGCGCATGCATGGGGGTGGGGCACATGCATGGGGGCTGCATGCGCATTGCATTTTGGGGGTTTGGGCGCGCTTTGGGCACACTTTGGGCACTCGGTCCGGAAAAGGTTAGCCATCACAGCCCTATAGGGATTGTTCTTCCAGTTCAGAGGGACTCTCTTCCCATAAGGGTGCACCTGCTGGTAGCTGCCTCACATTGTTTCAAGACAGTGCAACTTCCACATGGGAATAGCTTCTTCACAATCTACCAAGTTAGCTTCCTAGCAGCACTAGGCTTTCATAAAGCTGAAACTATATTTGCAGCATCTTTCCTTCATATCTGTATGTTCAATAGTTATTAAAGATAGGTTTTTGACCTCAAGTGCTTACTCATTCATTACTGAGAGCATTGGGTGAGTAGTGAACATTTTTACATGCTTAGGGGCACTTTTTTACTCAAATGTTGGGGCTCAAAGTCCTGGCTTAGGAGAGAAATCGTTTTGATGAGGATTTTACCTATAAAACCAGGATATGAAAGGAAAGAGAAGTGGGCAACTGTCTAGAAAAGAAATTGAGTACTCTTTACGTGCATGACGGCTCTCACCATCCTTCCATCTGCTTGCCCTTCGCCTCGGGTTGGGGCACCACTGTGAGAATGGTGTGAGCACAATGGGCTGGAAGGTAAGGCTGATGGCGGGGAAGAAAAATCCGCTCTAGGGTTGCTGCACTTAGCCGAAGGACCGTCTCAGTGGGAGGGGGGACACGGCAAGGCTTGTCCACTTTTTGGGCCCAGCTTTGGCTTTTGCAGGGCCTTCCGGGTGGGAGGCCTGAGAAAAAAGGCCTCCCCCAAGGGAAGAGGCATTTTTT